CGCTGTGCTCTGTGGTGTGCTATGGGTTAGGATTGGTGATGATGGATGTAGAATGTGTGGGATGGGAAGGACACAAACTCTCCAAGCTCTCCATGGAAAGCTCTCACAGTGGCAAAGTGAAGTGCATTTGAATCTGTACGGCCCCACTCCACGAATCCCAAAATATCTGTCCTTCACATAGGTAGAGAAACTTGCAAAAGGGATGGGATTTCCTTTCAGCAGAGACTGAATTTCATCATTTTGATTTCAGAATCTGTCACTAGAATTGCTATTAACAGGAAATGTTTGTAGTATTGTATGGACAACAAGTAGAAATTACCTAGAAAAGTTCACCTCCTTCTTTTCTTTTTCTTTTCTAGTGAAATCATTTTGAGCACTTGGCTGCATAAAACTTTTCTTGATCATTTCAATAGCACTCCACAAAAGACATTACTCTTTTGAAATCCGCAGAACTGTTTGTAGGTTTGGATACTGGTTAATGAGTATGATGACTTAACCTCGATTTTTTAACTTTCAAAGCAGCAGAAACGTGTGGCTTTCAGGAGTTACACACTGGAATTGTGACAGACTATTTCACAAGTCTCGTTATATAGTTGCTAATGCAGAATCATAAAACTATTCTAAGAACTCATTTGGATAGCGTTATACTTTCCCTTTCCCTCACCTCTCCTATAAATCCATCAGAAGCAGGGACATCAGTGTTATGAGGCAAGGAGGAATATTTATCACCTTCGTTCTTTCAACAAGCTCTGGACATCATATTTTTTCTAATAAAATAAAAATAAAAATGTGTAAGTCCCAAGACAAAGAATGATGGAAATAGTGCAGAAGCCCAAAGATACGTCATTAAAGGGTGATATCTGCAGAATGCTGCACCAGGTAAGATGGCAAGGACTTAAGATCTCAGGATTTAAACCAGCATTTTATCCAGAATTAATTTCCTTTAATCACATTCTAAGCAACTGCAAGGCTATTTCTGTACAGCTGACAGGCCTTCTTAGCCAATCTGCAAAATGTTTCTTGTATTAGAAGAGTGAAAGTAGGCAGCTTTACTCACTAAAAACACAGTAAAGAACTCAAAAATACCTGTAGATAAGGCATTATTTTGTCAGAAAAGTTATGGTTTTAACATCAAAAGTTGGACTGAATAAAAATTCTAATTAAAATAATACGATGGAGAAAATGCACTGTCATTATACTAAAAAGTACTTTCACAAATACAGTTTTCAAAGAAATTTACTTAATTGTGGGTTGTCAGTTTTAGATATAGTATTAAAAAGTAGCTTAATGGAAGAGCTGCTTTTTTGAAAATTGAAAAAATTCCTATATTTCAGGGATTTGGAGGAAAAAGTCCTACAGGGCTGACTTCTGAGCTTAAAGAGGTTGAATTCTCAGGTGCTTGGTTCCGCCGGTAACAGCGGGTATATCTCTGCAGGGAAAGCGCCTTCATCTGATCTGTACATAAAGCCAACAAATATCAACATCTGGGCTAGCTGTCTAGACCACTGTCAGTAACAGCAGGAAGAAACTGGCATTCCTATAGGGCAATTCATTCAATATCTTAGACTTCTACTTTAGGAGGAGAGGAATTATCCCATAAGGCTGCTACCTTCTCAGTAGGGCTAATCTGGACAAGGAGTTCAGAGCGAAAGTACCTCAAATTAGAGGAGATGAATTCTACCATAAACATCTGCTTCCAACATCCCTTTAGTACAGGAAGCTCATGATAAATTCTTCTTAAAGAGGGCGTTTGCAGCAGGCAAGGAGTCCAATGTAAAGCGTTTATGTACTGATGTTATTCTCGAAGAGACAGAAAATTACACAGGCCAAAGATTAGCTGAGTTCATCAGATACTTCTCCATACTGTGCTATTCCTAACAAACATCTCACAAAACTTCTTTCCAGGTCTTCTGGGACTACAGACTTCATTATAGGCTGATTTAGCTGTTAAATAAAGATAGGAGGCATCTGTGATTCTAAGTAAATATATGTTTTGGCTCAGACGCACCAGACCAAGTGCTGGGATGTTGAAAAGCAGCACGTCATTGCCTTCTGAATCTGGCAGGTGTCATTCTTGGAAGAAACCACAAGAAAAACGGAGAGCCTGCTGTCTTTGACAGGCGGAGGTTCAAAGGTGCTTCAGAGCTGCCTCTTGGGTTCAGCTCACAGGAGGTGACAGACAGCAAAGTGCAGTCTGGAGATGAGAAAGGCCTCCCTTGGGGAAAGCCTTTTGAGAGAGCCTTATCAGCCCAGAGCATGGCTCTCCTCTATCCCGTCAGCCCACAGACTACTTGTCAGTCCCACTGCTTATTATTCTACAGAACTTTCTTGCCAAAAATAACCACGAAAGGGTCAGAAGCTAAGCCAAAGGTCAATCTATGCATGGATAACATTTACTTGTTCACAAAGTTTTCAAAAACATGCACATTACCAGCAGGGTTCCAAAAGCAGACCTTCAGTGTATGGAAAATAAAATCCACTTTTTCAAATAAAAAATAAACACAAGATATTCCATTGCTTAATTTAACTAACCAGCATTTCAGATTCTTCCCTTCGCATTTCATAAATGTGTAGGTTAAATTTAGAATAAGGGTGACAGACAAATCAGGCTGGAGAAAAGGGAGATACTGCATCTCAGCCTCAACTTTGCCTCATATAGCTTCAGCCAGCAGGGATCAGCCAGCGCGTTCATTGTGAGCAACCATGGGATAGAGGCACGCAGCAGTGAATTTTGTACCCCTGCAGTTCTCTGCACAGTGATGAGGGAGGTTGAGCTGCTCTAGGAAGTTCTCATAGAGTGATGGCATTTCCTTAATCTCTCCCCAGTAAAGCCATGCCTGTGAACACAATCGAAGACCCTCGATCTTCCTAAAACTCAGCTAAGGTACAAGAGATGAGTATAGTGTAAATCCTCTGTTGTAGCTTTTATTATTGCAACACACTCTTCCAGCAGAAGAAAAGCAACAGAGGAAACACTAAAGCTGCTGATTTTTGAACAATCTGCATTGGAAGAGAACATTCTTTTCAAGCATTGCAGTTGGTTTCTACCAGAATGGTTATTTGGTAGATGGATGCACTTACTGAACTGGACCACCCAAGAACTTGTGATAGATGGTAGAAGAAAAGCCAAAAGCCGAAGCTGTAATTTCTCTGTGCTGAGCATAGATCTCCATACAGCAGAGGTAGCACATTTCTGAAGAACAGAGATTTCCCCAGTGGGCTGCAGAGCTCTCTCTGGTTGCTGCAGTGGTCGCACTCCAAGGGACTGCAAATGGAGAGCTAAACTATGAAGACTAAGAAGATGAGAGTTTCCACACTGTTGTACAAGAAAGGACCTAGTTTAATTACATTTTATTCCATCTCACTAGTTGGAAGATGAAATTAATATTTCTGATAACACATCTTTGAGTGGTGACACTCTTTACCCAATGGAGTCTAGAGCACTGTCCATCACAAAATTACAGAATAGAAAAGTTTGAGATGTGAGCCTCAGTACAGAATATTACTTATATTTCAACAGAAAAAAAATAAATAAATAAAGCAGAAAAAAAGACAGTGATACTTTAAAAACCACTGTATCTATTTATAATGTTCATCCTATTGTGGATAGGACTCCAGCCAAATCATTATTCATAGCAACTCTTGTTGACACAGAGAAGTAACATCAGCAAAGTACAGTGCCATACTCCAAATGACACTTCAGTTTTATGAACTATGTCCCTGTCCATTTCTTAGTCCTTTAAAACAATTTTTAAATACTTAACCAGCAGACATCCCTGAAAATAGCTAGGAAATATTTGCAGATGTAGACAATGTATTCGTCTATGCTTAAAAGCCATCATAAGCAATCAGATCAATTGGTAATTTTTAATAATTACATTAAGTGAAGAAACAAAGTTATTGTAAAGCATGGCAGTTTTAACAACATAGATTAAGAAAAATGCAATATCTAAGAAGTTATGCAAATAATTTGTCATTAAATCACTTGTCAGAAGCAATGAAAGATAAAAAATTTCCTTCCTTAATTGTCACATATTACCACAATCAACTTTAAAGTGCTTCTGTTTTGCTTAATATAATATTTTGAATTAAATGGGCATGCACACAAGCACAGTAATTCCAACACGAAAATTATTTCTGGCCTTTCTCTGTATGCAAATTAATACATAGTTTCTGTGGAAACATTTGAAGCATCTGAAGAATAGCAGGACATATTTTGCTCTTATCCAAAACATTTTATAAGTCATATGTCAATGCTCAAAATCACTCCTAAAGTAGGAGGGGGAAATTCTTTCAGTAGCCGTATGGTGATGGATTAAAAAATTCTGTGCTAAAGGGAAAAGGAAATATTTCTAATATGAACAAAGGCATCCGAGGACAAGGGCAGGAGAGAGCAGTGGGCTGTTCGTTGTTGCACATTTCCTAGAAGTCAGAATCCATAAACAAGTGATATCTACTTATAACCATTAACACAGAAAGTGCAAAGTTGGAAAGGGCGGAAGAACTCTTTGGTACTCAGATACAGTTCAGAAACAGTTCATCTGATATTTGGTAAATACAAGCAATTGTGAATATTGTGCTCAGAACAAATACCTTCACTAGAGTGATGGAGTGCCATCACTAGAGAATCACTATTCTGTACATTTCTGGTTCAACCTTGCCATCCCCAATATCACCAGCTCATCCCAGCTCAAAGCAGGACTAGCCTCAACATTAGATCTGGCTTCAAGGTGAGAGAACATGTTCAGGGCCATGCCTGCTCAGGGTGTGAATGTTTCCAAGGATGTAGATTCCCTCTCTCACAAGGCAAAGAGTTCTAATGTAAACTACTACAATTATCTTGAGTTGCATGTGTGTGCACAGCTCAATAACAGAGAAAATGCCATGCTTTTGTAGGAGTGGAACAGTGCTGTAGTTGTAACTACAGACAGGGAGAAGCTCAGGTACTGGGACATCCTGGCAAGCAGCTGTAGGAAGCTGAACTGACAGCTGTGCCTTACCTTGGCTATCAATGTCTCGAGGTTTATCCAATCTTTCCAAACCATGCTGCATGTTCCAGATGTGTCTTCTGCTAGGAGACCTGGGAAAAGTAAATGTCTATCAGATGACCCAAGTTAACTCAATGGACAGAAATCTTCTTTTAATTAATGTAATACTGATATGCAAATTAGCAAACTGCTTAACAGAAGAAATTCCAAATAAAGCTTATTCAGTTTGAGCATACAAATTATTTCATATTATACAGAATGCTGTTGTTAAACAAAGGGACAATTCTCTGCAGTACCTCTAAACTGGCAGGCACTTCCTGCTATGGGTACAGCAGACTAGTTATTTTATGACCTCCTGAGCTGAAAACCAGCAAGGTTAATCTGAAGAGCAAATGGGAAGATTTATGAAGACAAGGCAAACAAAAACCTTCCTTAGAAGAGTAGGAAAAGAAATACAAGAGGCAAGATTATTTCAACTCCAATTATATTTTTTACTTCATTAGACAACAGAGATGTGGAGCAAACAATGTGTAAATTAAGGACATTTATGTTGGAAAATTATTTAGAATATTGCTTTCAAATGGGCCTATAGATAAGGGGAAAGCTTATCTGATTGAGATAGCAGAGATGAAAGCACTAGAATCATTCATGAATACCATTACATTTAATTAAATTAAGACTGTGAACAAATATGCCAGGAAGAATGCAAAAATTCTGACTTCTGTCCTAGTTATTTTCTTAGGGGCTTTCCTCTAAGGCAATATTTGTGCGTCTCTTCCATTGGCTGGATTTTTCCAAAGTGAAGTTTTCTGGTGACTCTGTCCCCTAATCTTTGCTATAAAAGAAATAATCAGCTCATGAACAACCAATAAAAGTGATAAAGTGGCAACGTTTATTTTTGTGCTTGATTTTAGAGGGTTACAGAAAATATTTAACCTTGAGAGAGGCGGTGGGAGGATGGAGGAGGATGAGATTTTTCTGCTTTAGAATGAAACAATTTATAGTTCCTCCCTGTTCCACTGTCAATCACCTTTTATTCCTCCATTTAAGGGTTACATATCACTAGTTGAGAAACATCTCCTGTGTAATGTTGTTAATATGTAAACCTCCTGTGGGTACATATTGCTTCAGAAATGTTAAAAATAGGAAAAGCTGTTCAGATTATACACTCAAATTCCAGTCCAGCCAAGGTCATTACAATCTACCCAGCAACTACTGCACAGACCTCAACAGAACTGGTGCTGCATTTAAGACTAAGACCGTACTACAGGCAGATATCACTGTCTAATTAACTGCCTTTTGAGATGAAGAAAACACCATGTCTCTCAGAAGCTGTTGCAGGGACTCGTTACTCTCAGCAATAACATTATCTGCATTTCTTCACTTCTTGATCTTTTGCTTATTATGCAATTGAGGATGGGGGAGAAACATTTTATTTGAGCCAATGGTTACACAAATGATTCTGAAATCATTGGCAAAATTCTATCTAAATTTTCTGCACACTGCAGAGGGTGAATCATAGACTATAAGCCTCCTATTAGCTTTTACTTTCAAGATAACACCTACTGTCTGACAGAGTGATCCAATACGTGGTGAGGCAGAATGCTTAGTTTTAAAAGTATTTTTAATAATATGTGAGCTGATAAAATTCTCATGTTACCGTAGAGAAAGCTGGAAGAAATCTTAAAATTAACAACTCTGCTCTTCCTAAGACATATTTTATATCGTGAAGCATGAGGATTTCTCAAACTGGTATTAATTTGTTTTTAGTATGATGCTATCATTATTCATATCAACTTTATTAATAAGTCAAAACTTGGGGTGTGGTATCTGATAGCACTAAAGTTCTGAGACAGCTGTAAGGGCTGTGGGGAATAAAACAGCCCATCAACTCCAAACTTTTTCCATTAGATAACCAGAACAGTATGTGCACATTTGCTTTCTTTGTCAAAAACCATAACACGATGATCTTGTTTTCAATTCAGTGCTGATCCAGATGGGAGCACATAGTAAAGGAGAATATGGAAAACTCTTTATGTTTCCTTTCATGAGTATTTAGCTGAATGCTGAAATCCCAGAGATAATGTTACAAACATCATCAGATATCCTGAAATTCCTCACATGCAGTTGTTATTTTATTATCTCAAAAATATAGCAGTACCCCTTCACAGGCTCTCCTAATTCATATTCAGTGAACTTCTGTTTAAATTAAGAAGAGTTAATATTCCCTGATGTTCAAATTTATCTTGAATATAACTCTTGAATGAGCAACCTATGAAGCTATCTATATAAAACGTCAGAAAGACACTTGGAATCTCTACCTTTCAGCAACTGCACACACTTATTTCTCCAACCCCATGGCTGACAATGCATTCCGTGTGACACCTTCCAAAAAGCAAAGCCAGCCAGTGACACAAAAAAGATCTCTTCCACTCTGGGGGAGTGCAGGAGGTAGCAGAGGTGAAGCTTCTCTCTGAAATATTTTTATTACAAATAGCCATAATGAGGTAACAGAAGTTTCTTTTGGATGTGTGCAAACTGATAAGGACCACACTAAATATTTCATAATGTTTAATTTACAAGGCATTTTCATGGAAAGTGATCAGAGTTAAGCATTTTCCCCTGCAATTTTGTCAACAGTTCAGGGTACAACCAGATTAAGTTGATGTGTAATTCAGTTCATGCTCACACAGCAACTTTTTGCCTTCAAAATGTGTTCTCTCTCTCATTGATTGTTTTAGGGCAGTACTCCGGAACATTCTCATTGTTATTCTTTGCCAGGAAGCACAGGCTTTAGTTAAAGTTGATTTATTCTTCTACCTTTGCTCTGCTTCTGTAGATCATTTTCCTGTGTTCTGTGCTCCTGATAGGAAAACTGCTTGTTTGATCCTAAAAGGCACAGGGGGACAATGAAACTAGGCCAGCATGGACCCTGCACACAGCCAATCATGAAAAGGCAGTCAGCACATTTAAAGAGGGGGTTTGGTCGATATTACTGTATATGGGTTAGGAAATTAGAGAAGTGGAAATGTGTAGAATTAGACTTGGATTTGATTTTTGCCAGCATCCAGTATTTAAATAAAGAATGTTTCTTTTAGATTCAGCACCTGAGCTCAAGTGAGCTAGTACTTCACAACATTACTCTTGTCTTGTGTCCCCTTGAGGTCTAAAAGAAACAGGTTTGTGACTCCAGGCAAGGTAGAGGAGACCACTTCTAAAACAGAAGGAGCAGGAGTTCACTCTTTTGCCCCTTCACACTTCCACTGAACAGAAGGCGCAGCTCAGTGCATCACACAGACCATTCAAAGTCATGGAATCTTCTATACTTCATCCGACATGAGGAAATGGCGCTGAAAAATGGCCTAGAAATACGGTAAAAGACATGTTGGAAGTCACCACTTTGACGATGTGGGAAAGATTACTGGTGGTGCCTTGAGCATGTAATTGGGAAAACTACATTTATTAGTACCTCTGTAAAGAGCCAGTAAACAGCAAGGTTTTCATCTGCATTCCAAAGCATGTTTAGCACAAGCAGCTCCTAAATGTCAGATGATGGTCCATATTCCTGACTTGTTATAAAATTTACAGCGAAAACAGATGCATAAATACTGCTTATCTTTGCAGTACTAGTTTTCTGTTCTTGCTTTTTAATTAAAGTTCATAAACGATGTTTAGCTTATCATAAATCCAATAAGAATTGCTAGTTCTGGTTTTCCTTAGAAAACATACTGTAACTGCAATTTGCAATTTTTATGCATTTCCATGACTACAGCCAAAGCAGTGCTAGGGCTCCTTAAAGATAAGTTGATTCTGACAGCAGAAAATCCCTTCCCAGCCACCAAGGGAGGACTGAGCTCCAAACATTCAGAAAACTCTTCATTAGGAAGAAAAATGCCGGATACTTTCTCAAGAGCAGCATTTGAGTATTTACTGCTCATGACATTGGATATTTATGATTTTTGAAAGATATGGTGGAAAATACTAGTTTCTAGCCTGAGCAAGTTTCCATGTCAACTGAGATGCTTCCTGCTTTATATTTTGGTCACTTACTCAACTTTAAATAGAGGATGGTTTCATAAATCACTGACTTAGGCTTGAAGCATTGAAAAACATGACATGCCAAGGAAACTGTTTTCTAGAGATACAAAACTGACGGAAGAAGTGTTGAAAGAAACCAAGTAATGAACCGAGAGTAGTATTTGGTACTGCATGTTCACAAGTTGTCAATGAGCTGCTGGATCATCAAAGAAAGGCTTACCCAAAGCACAGGGCAGCATATGGCCCCAGCTGTTCTGCAGCACACAGCCCTGCAAGTTCCTGGCCTTACAGCTCCAGCTCTGATTTCTCTGAAAGCAGTGAATAAAAAAAAAGAGAAACCAGTATGATCCTAAAATATTTAACTCTTTCTTGCCTTAACTCTCTGATTTATTTTAATTGCAAATGATCTAGTGTTAGGAGGAAAGAACCCGCATCAGTAAGTGTTCTAGCACTAGATAAGGTGTTGGGATTTTGCCAAGGCAGAATGGAAGTAAAGCAAAGGAATACTATTTAAAAATTGTTTATGAACACTATAAATGTAAATAACAGCGCACTAGAGTCAGAGTGGAAAAAGCATTCATCATTATTTAAAAAATAGGAATTAGAAGGGCTATTAATTTGCTGTGAAATCTATAAGTTTGATGCTTATCATTGGTGATATTTCTTTATCTGGTTTCTTTTGCATCTTCCTTTACTACAGCTTATTTATATCAGTGCAGCTAGTCTCAAGGCTTTAAGCATTTTTCAGCTGGATATTATTACTAATTTATTATTGGAAAAAGATATCTGAAATTTCCTTTCACCTCTATAGTGAAAGGACTACTGGCAATAAATATAATGAAAATAAAAAAAAATTCTAACCTTACAAAGTGCAGCTTCGCTTTGCAAATCTGGATGTATTTTTAAATTATGCTCAAGTTTCATAGAATCATAGAATCTTAGAATCACCAAGGTTGGAAAAGACCTACAAGATCATCCCGTCCAACCATCCGCCCATCACCAACAGCTCTCACCAAACCACGTCCCTCAACACAAAATCCAACCGTTCCTTGAACACCTCCAGGGTCGGTGACTCCGCCACCTCCCTGGGCAGCCCATTGCAGCCCCTGACCACTCTTTCAGAAAAGTGGTATTTCCTAACATCCAGCCTAAACCTCTGCTGGCACAGTTTGAAGCCATTCCCTCTGGTCCTATCATCAGTTACTCGAGAGAAGAGGCCGACCCCCAGCTCACTACAACCTCCCTTCAGGCAGTTATAGAGAGCAATGAGGTTTCCCCTGAGCCTCCTCTTCTCCAGGCTGAACATTCCCAGCTCCTTCAGCCGCTCCTCATAAGGCTGTGCTCCAGACCCCTCACCAGCTTTGTTGCCCTTCTTTGAACCTGCACCAGGGCTTCAGTGTCTTTCTTGCAGTGAGGGGCCCAAAACTGGACACAGCACTTGAGGTGAATAATATTAATTTATTAATAATTATTTATTAATAATATTATTGTATATTTTCTAGAATACACTAATATTATATTAATACAATCACTATATTGATATCAATATTATACATTAATATTATATTATATGCATTTATATATTAATAATATAGTTTGAAATATTAATGTGTTATTAAAATTAACAAGCTACAGCAATATTTTTCTCCTCAGTAATTGCTGTTAACAGCACCAGAGCATAGCATAGCTAAGGCTCAGTTGACACTCACATATGAAAGCCTCAGGGTGTTTAATCTTATGAAATCATTACATTTGGACTGATTTTTTTTCTGCAAATATTCCACCGAAGTTGACTTTTAAACCATTTTGAGGCTTGCACACTTTAGCAGACTGTTAGTTCTGATAGGTTTTGTCCCTTTCACTTGTTATTTCTCAACAAGGAAAACAAAATAAGAACAATGACTAAGCTAGCACAGCTTTATACTGAAGTTTTTGAGTTTTATAGATTTATAGATATGAGATTT